GAGAAGCTGACACATAGAGGGAGAAGCTGACACTCAGAGGGAGAAGCTGACACATAGAGGCAGTTGCTGAGGCCTCAGCTAGTCCTCCAGAGAGCTCTGGGGCTCGGATGGCCTTTTCAGAACTGTCCTGAAGGAGGCAAGGGACCGCCCCTTAAATTGTCACCTCAGCCAGGCATTGGCTACTCTTCCCCTTCTCACTGGGAGGGGTCATAACCTTTGACCAGACAGTTCCCTGCAGCAGAGGCAACTCCCAGTGAGAGAGCAGAGCAGGAGCATCTGATATCCCTCCCTGGAGAGGGGACCGGCCAGACACTGTGCTAAGCATTCCAGAAACAGTGGAGAACCAGACGTAGAATTTCTGCATGGGGCTTTTCGTCTATATATGATCTATGTTTACCCATTTCGTCTCTCCAGCAGCTTGGAAGCCCCCCCTTGGGCCAGAATCTTGTCTCAGTAGAAGAGTGCATAGTTGGTGCTTAATAAGAGTCCGTGCAATTTTGTTACCGGTAATGCACCCGGGTCCCTTTCTTTGTCTCCAAAGTAACATCACCTGCTAGTTTGAAAGATGTGAGTCCTTTCGTCATGGACTAAACCATCACACAATTATTTTTTCAGACTCGAAAGAGAAAAAGGAAGCCAGCCTGTAGAGATGGAACCTAATTTAGAAACATCTCGCGCAGTATTTGAAATGAAGGCTGGCTGGGACCAGGCGTGGTCAGGGCCCAGAATCTCAGCATCTGCCAGAATTTTGCCGCAGAGGGGAAAAAAAGCGAAGGTGTCTGATGAACTCTCCCGGGGCTCTGCAGCAGGACACCCATTTTGTAGTTTTCCTGGGGAACTTGGCCACAGAGAGTAAATCTAGCCGAAGCTCCGCACCTGCCAAATCCTCTAGGCTCAAACGAGCTGTTGTGCATACTCCAAGTCCTGATGTTATCAGATTTCAGCCCGAAGTATGAGGGGTGCAGAGAGACCACTTGTATTTAAAGAGAGCTGTTGACTGGTCCGTGGGCCTCCATCTGACAACATGGGACTCGGAGCCTACATTCTCGCCTGTCATCCTGTGGGAAGTGTGCTGAATACGGCTACCATTGCCACTGCTGACAGGAATCAGAAGGGCGTGTTTACCTGTGACAGCATTTATAGTGCAAAGCTGCTGACTTGAGTGATTTCAGTCAGTCCCCCACAAGTCTGTGCAGTAGGGTGCTCTGTGAGCTCGAGGAAGTTGTTCAAACTCTCCGGGCCTCATTTTCTCCACCTCTAAAGTGGTAATAGAACCTCTCAAGTTATTGTGAGGATTAACTAATGTAATACCCATGAAGCTCTTAAAGAAAACAGCACCCAGAATGTAGTAATTTCTTATTAAATGTTTGCAATTGCTGATAGGTAATTTTAGTCTCACTTTATAGGAGAGGAAACGGAGGTCCACAGGGGCTAAGTTTATGAATAAGACACCTGGGTATCAAGGAAGGAAAACATGGGGACCAACGTGCAAATGGGGCCAGACTTTCCTGTGCTGCATTTCCATCATGAACCCATTACAGTCATGCGCTGCGTGACGACGTTTCAGTCAATGACGGAAGCATAGACGACGGTGGTCCCATAAGATTGGTACCGTACTGCCTAGGTGTGTAGTAGGCTATACCGTCTAGGTGTGTGTAAGGACACTCTATGATGTTTGCACAATGACGAAATTGCCTTATGATGCATTTCTCGGAACGTATCCCTGTCGTTAAGCAACTCTTGACTGTATATGCCTTAAACTTGGGAACAGAGGAAATACAGACTCCTCAAAAGAAAAAAAAGTTGAAGGGATAAGGTTGCCAAGGAAGGAAATTAAAAAAAAAAAAACGCTCGCACTTTTCAAACTATTGAATCCTTCTTATCTTTATATTTAGATCTAAATACCAGAAGGGGTATCATATTCAGAGGTAATTAGGTTTGAAAAAGCTCTCATTGCTCTGAGCCCTCCACGAGGGCTTTTGAAGGCCTGTGCTGTGGTGGGGGTTTTGCACCCACCTGGCCTCGCCTCATTTTGGTGGTTTCCTCCCCCGACAGGAGTTCAACTGGCAGACCCCTCAGGAGCAGAGGAAGGTGTGATCGTGGTGCCTTGGCCCCCTGGTCTCCTCGGGAATGAAGGTCATCGGGGTTCTTGTGGTCTTCGCCTCCTGCCGTGAGTAGCAGCAGCTGGGAGAGCTCTAAGGTGCTGCCCTCCTGTCTGGGTGTCTGTGTCTCCGGTGGCCCCTCCTGAGGCGGCATCTGGTGAGGGAAAATCACGAGCCACTAAACAGAGAATCAGGAGTGGAGCGGGCCCCCACCGGAGTCCTGTTGCTTCTGTTTCTTCTGCAAAACGGGCTGATCCCCAGTTTTGGAATCTCACAAAATTTCTGGGAAACCAAAGTTTGCTCACTATTTGCTATGAAAGAGGGCATTTGACTACTGTTTTACCGCACACACCCCCTTCAGGAGTCTTTTTTTTTCCTTTAGATGCTAGTTGCCTTTATTTAAAGTCACGTGGGTTCCAGAACAAAACCGCAGACATGTATCTGGCTAATTTAGCAACTACTAATTCTTAACAGGAAGGCAGTCTTATGGTGACTTATGGAATAATTGGTAATTGTAAGTCACTGCTACCAGGAGATCAGATTACGTACCTCTGCTAAGTGAAAGAGAACTTACTAGGAACAGTGCTGGGTCTGTTGGAAAACTCTTCAACTCTTTGGTTTTATTAGTTGAGTAGAGATTTGTCTAAATCCATTTTTCTATGTTTCGGCTACATAGCAATAACTTTTATGTCCCTAAGTCAAAATGTCAAAAATGGGGTTCCTATTTTCGCTTAGTCAGTTGTGGAATTTACAGTTTTCAAGATCATGGTGTGGGGGCACCCGTATGCAGGAGGGCCACTTCTGCAGCCCCCACAATGTGTGCCCAAGATCAGCGCCTGAGTGTGGTCCCCCCTCTCTCCAGGGCCTGCTGGGCAGCGGTGACCATCTCTGGGCTTTGGCCCCCTCTGTGGTGCTTTGTGACAATAAGGCATCCAAAACCACAAAGTGAGACGGGAAGGCTCCTAGGAAAATGTCCCCAAACCCTCTGTCTCTGTGTTTCTTCTTCAAGTTCATGTTTTTATTTTATTTTTACTGCAAAATTAATATATGCTTGTAATTAAAATGTAAAATAAGTGAGTACAGAGTGACAAGATAAAACTTCTTTTCATCCTTCCCAGACCCCAATCTTTTTCCTACACCCAGATATGACCACTCTTAAGAGTTCGATATACATTCTCCTAGGCCTTCACACACACACGTATTTCAAACATTTAATAGAAAAGTAATAAATGCTCAGTATAAAAAATATCAAGTTGCATAAACATATATAAAATAAATGTTGCCTGTTCTTTTCTCCACCTACTTCCTCAAGCCCATTGCCTAGAGATAGTGCTATTAAAAGTAATATGTTTTTAAGACATCATTTACTTATTATCCCCCTGTCAGTGGATATGTGGGTAGTTTCCAATTTTTTGATATCACAAATAATGCTGCAACAAACATCCTCATATATATTTTTTCCTCACACTTTTATAAGCATTTTGCAGAAGTAAAAATTGCTGGATCATTTGCCATTTAAAAAAAGGGATCAAGGGCATCTTTTCTGCCCCTAAAGTATTTTGTTTCTCCTATAAGACTGTAAATGCCCCAGGATATTTGTAGGGACCGGCATTTCTGGCTTTGAACTTTCCCATTTCTCATTAGACCCAAGGTGTTTCTGCCCAGGACGGTGGGTTTTTACTTTTGGAGGGAAGACTGGAGTTGATAGTAGACTGTTGTCCTGAACGTCATGGAAACTGGGTTCTCATTCTGGGCTAGCAAGAAACTAGCTGTGACACGTGGTAGATCTGATCCTATCTTCTTTCCCTTAAAGGGGCCCATGATCACAGCCATGCCCATGCACCATACAGGGGTCTCCTGATGTCCCGAATGCAGAGCATCTAGTCAGCGGACGCCAAGGGGCATGGCACTCATTGCGTCTTTTCATCTTCCTTATTTCTCATTGGCAGTGATGGCCCTCACCCACAGCAGCTTCTGGCAGTTTCAAAGGATGGTCAAACACATCACTGGGCGGAGTGCCTTCTTCTCATATTACGGATATGGCTGCTACTGTGGGCTTGGGGGCAAAGGGACTCCTGTGGATGACACTGACAGGTGCGTGCAGAGGCTCCGAGGCCTCCTGTCATTTGATTTGCCTTGAAATCCATGCTTAAAGCGACAGGGAATGGGACTCTTGCATTGCAAGTAACAGAAACCAGTTCATGTGCACAGAAGAAAAAATCTGAATGGAAGTGAAAGGAAGGTCTTGAGGAACCCGGGGCCAGGGCTGGCTTCCTGAATGTGTGGCCCATGCAGTTCACAGGGCTGGTGTTCCTAAGGGCTGGCACGTGGTTTACTGCTCTGCTGTCACCATCTTGAAATTCTCAATGATGTTTGAACAAGGACCCCTGCGTTTTCATTTTGCACCAGGCCTCACAAATTACGTAGTCGGTCCTGCTCAGAGCTCTAGAAATGTTTTCAGTCCTCAGTCCTCGTGATCAAACAGGGTCTTCTCTCAGCTCCCCAGTTTTTAGGATTATAGGTGCAGCAAGGCTGACTCTCTGTCTCTCGGTCCTAATTCCATATTCTGGGAGAAAGAATCCTAGGGGCCCAGTTTGGAAAAGTTGTCCTTCCGGGTAAGGTCACCTGGCACAAACTTGGCTGCCAGGCCTGCTCCTGAGGACTGGGAGGGAGTGTGAGTTCCTAGAAAAAGTGCAGCTTGGTGTAATCTGGCGAGGAGATGGGAGGTAGCAAACAGGAGAGTTTGCATGTTGTTTCATTTGAAGAAATAAGAAGCAAAATGTTCCTCGCCACTTTCAATCTAGCGTCGATAAATATGCCCCCACTCCTGGGGCTTCATTCCTCTGGGTTGGGCTCATGAGACCATGGAATGTTCCGGCTGGAAGGACCCCAGAGCCCTGGAGGGGAACTGACGCTGATGAAGTGCCCATCATGTGCTGAGCACCAGGATTGATGATTTGCACCCAGGGCCTAATTTAACCCTCTCGGTGAATGGCCGAGGCAGTGTTACCATCCCCATTTCACAGGTGACAATGATGAGGACCCACTAAGCCAAGTGGCAAAGCCCAAAGACACGCAGCCTGTGAGTGGCAGAGTCAGGATTTGAACAAGAATTTGCCTGTTCAAAGTCTGGGCCCTTTGATGCTCTGTGCCCGCCCTTCCAAGTTCAAAGGCTGCTGTGAATTTTAACACTATAAGCCAAAGACGACAGACAGCAAAGAGCCAACTTGCAGGTGGGGATGGTGAGAGAGGAAGACAGAAGCGTCTGGCCCAGGGCATCAGCAGAAGCATTTTCTTTTTCATGGCTTAGAATCCAGTCCCAGGTCTCTGCCTTCCTGCCCCTTGTGCGCTGGTTGAGGAAATGAGCTGAGGCCGTTGCCTGCCCAGCTGTTTTCTCTCCTCCAGTGTTCTCCCTTCCTGCCCCTGGCCGACTCTGAACACCATGAGAGCAAGGACTGAAGGGTCATGTATGTTTTAGCTTCTCAGTCGTCTCCTCAGAAGCTATCACAGAGCTTGGCACACAGTAGGTACTCAGTAAAAAGTCATTAAGTGAAGGAATGAGTCACACGGACCTAGATTTGAGTACCGCATCTATCATTTTCCTGCTGTGTGTATAATTTTGGTAAATTCACCTCTCTGAATCTCATTTCCTCCCCTATAAAATGGGGACAATGATCACACTTCATAGGGTTACTGTGAGGAGCTGTGACGGCAGGAGGTACTAGAAAGGGCTCACTCACTGTTAGTGGTTGTTTTTATTATTTTTAATATGATGAAGAATTTACCTCCCTACCTTCAGCGCCTCCTCGCTCAGGGGAGGAGGCAGGTGAGTCCTCACCCATCCTCTGCCTGGTCCTCCAGGGCCTCACCCACAGGGAAGGCCCCCACCTCCCTCTGGTCTGGCCCCCAGATGCTGCCTGGCGCACGACTGCTGCTACGAGAAGTTGAAGCATCTCGGCTGCCAGCCCGTGCTGAACAGCTATCAGTTCCACATCGCCAACGGGACCGTGGTCTGTGAGTAGCCTTCTCTGTAGAGAAACGTCTTAACCTGAGCCTTTCCTTAATGTCTGCCTCCTCGCAGACCCAGAGAACTTTTAGGAAAGGAGATTTTTCCAAGTGCTTTGGGATGGAAAGCAGCAATTCTGAGAATCAGAGCATTCGAGTCCTTGCTTGGTCTCCCTCTGGTCTCTCCTGTCCACAGCTGTATCTCCAGCACCCTCCAGGAGCACGGAGCCTGGTGCCTGGTGAATAGTATGTGCTCAATAAATAGTTGTCAACTTGAGAGTACGTTGAATTTCGCAGCTTCGCGTGGCAACTGTTGCTGTTGAGAACATTGCTCCTTGTGCCTGTCGTGTGTTAACAAAGGAGTTCGGCCGTCTTTCAGATGAACAAATATTTGTGAGGGCGACTGCATGCCAAGCACTGTGATAGGTGCCACGGGGGACACAGGAGTAAATAGGTGGGGCCAGGGAAGGGAAGTCACATGCCATCGAGGCCATGCAAGGAGGAGGGCAAAGGACAGGCTGGGCAAGGACTGAGTGTCCAGCACGTGGGGAGCGGCCCCAAATATCCCGCAGCCTGTTCTGGACTCTGGGTGTGTGGGGGGCAAGTTCAGTCTAAAGAGCAAGCATGTTGGAAAGCGCTGGGCTGGAGCCGTCTTGCAAATGCCATTCATTCCGGTGGAGCCAGTGGTTTGAATGCCCCTTAGAGCGTGCATCTCGCCTCCTGCCTGGCCTTGTGGAGTTGCGTGGACCACTTTCCTCCCCGAGTGTATTTATTCACAGCTGGAGTGTATCTTGGAGTTCATCTGTCTCCTCCCGAGGTCAGGGAACCACCTCCCTTCCCCTCATCTCCCCACTTTTAGTGGGTGCTCAGTGCTCAGACCCCAGGTCTCCCCAGTGCCCCCACCCAGGGCTCCGGCTCAGGACACACCAAGACCCACCAAGAGTTAGGACTGTGCAGTCTCCCTGGTCCCAGTGGTGAGACCTAAAATGTAGTGGGCTGGAGACTCAGTCCCCTGCAACAGGAGGGCGAGCTCCAGCTCTGCTTCTCTGCCTCCACAGCCCCGTGCCCCTGGGCACACTGTCAATGGGGAGAGAACCCCTTTTCTTCTATGTGAGCTCTAGGAGACTTCCTGTGTTGGAGCTCTCTGGCCATGACCATCTTCAGGCCTAAAGCAAAGTGTCTCTTCTGTGAGGCCCCCAAAGCCACGTCCAGGAGATGGGAAGGGATCAGGGCCAAGTGGAGGGGCCGGCGACGGAGACAAGAGGAGTTTGCCCCCAAAGCATTGTTTGCTTTGGCGTATGATGCCCTCCGGGGGCCCGGGACCAAGGTTCTGACCACCTCCTCCCACCCCTCTGGGCCCCACACTGGGGGCGGGGAGGAGAGGAGCCGGGAAGTGTGGCTGTTGGTTGGTGAGGGAGGGGGCACACAACAGAGGTACCCCCTGACTCTTCTCAGCCTGGCTCATGCTCTCGCTTTCTCGGTTTCGTCTTACCTCTTTTCATCCTGATCTTAACATCTGTCACGTCAAGTGTTACCTTAACATCGTTGAAAAGGCATCACTTTTAGAAAATATAAACTCAAGGAGGAAAGAACTCCCCCAAAAGTGCAGGGACCGAGGAAGAAGGGAAGAGTGCCCTGAGGAATTTCAGCAGGTACAAAGGGCCTTCCTGCACCGTGGTCCCAGGCCCAGACCAAGCCTCTGCCCTCGGCTCCTGCGGGCTGGCTGCACTCATGAGGCCGGCCTGGGCACTCTGCACCTGGAGTAGTTTCCCTATCAACACTCTTCACCCTCCCATGTGGGGACCAGAGCCACAGCTCGGGACCCCAGAAGATGGAGGAGATGGAGGAGAGTGACCTGGGGCAGAGGCTGGAGCCCTGGGAGTTACCACACGGAAACATCCTCGCCTTAGCACGTGCAAGAGGTGCAGGCAGGGGCTGGGAGCTGGACCGGAAAGGTGGCCTGGCCTGTGCTTTCTGCAGGTGCCACTCCCTGCCAGGCAGCAGCAGCCAGCTGCTCCTGAAGCTTGACCAGGGCTCCTGGAGTCCAGAGCCCTTCTTAGGAAGTTAGCATGGGGGACACTTCCCCGTCACCACCGGGTCATCAGCATCCCCTCCTCAGCTGACCCCGCCAGTGAGTACACACCCCCACCTTGCTGAGCCCCTGCTCCTGGGAGCTGGGTGACTGGGTTCTAATCCTAGGTCTGCTCTTGATATGTGCTGAGACCTCAAGGGAGACCCAGGCACGTCCATTCACTTGCCCAGTGTTGACTGTGTCCCTTGGGTGCCCATCCAGAGCCAGCACTGGGCCAGGGGCCAGGGGTACAGAAGAAGGCAGCCTCCGGCCCTGCTCCCTTGGTGTTCTCCAGAGCTGAAAACGCCCTTAGGGACCATCCAGACCCACCCCTCATTGTAGTGATGGGCAGACTGAAGCCCAGAGAGAAGAAGGGTTTGATCCAAGTAACAGGCAAGATTAAAACACATGTGTCTTGAGCCTTTCCAGTGCTCTGGAACACACTTCCTGGCCTGAGTGTTTGGGGCCTCAGTTTCTTTATCCATAAAATAGGTTCAGTAACAGCAGCTGCTGTTGATGAGCATCTGTGACAGACGCTTCACACATTGCACCTTGAACCCCCGCAGTAAACCTTGGAGGTGGGCATTGTTCTCCCCGTTATTGAGGAGGACCCTAAGGCTCAGAGAGGTTAAGAGAGAAGGCCAAGGTTACACAGCAAGGGAAAGAAGAGTCAGGATTTGGACCCAGGTCTTCTGACTCCAGAGCTGGTGCTCCCATGCACACTGCCCTCCCTCCCCAGTGGCAGGGGCGGTCGGGAGGGTGATGGAGATGCGCTTAATTGGAGGGTTCACACAAATGCAAGTCTTATTGTTTGCAGGACTCCGGTTAGAACGCTCAGCCCTGGCCCAGGAGAGGCAAAGAAAAGCAGATGGAGTTTGCTCCTCTGTAATGCCCCAGATCTTTCTGTTCTAGCTCTGTGTACCCTGCTAAGAGGCCCAGAGAGAGCGCATGCTTTGGAGTCAGGCAGAGCTGGATCTGCGTCCCAGCGTCTGCCCTTCTAGCTGGATAATTACACAACCACCCTGGGCCTTAGTCTCCTCATCTGTAAAATGGAGACAATAATCTGCACCTCATATGGTCGCTGTAAGGGTCGACGAAAGGGTCTGGCCCATAGCAGGTGCTTAGTTAATTTAGAAATTGAGATTTCTTTTTTCATCTAAGTTTTCTTTTCCCCTTTATTTTATGGAAAAGCCCTGGGAATTTTTCTTATTACTGTTGAGAGATTTCTTTGAAGCATCTGCTCTGCACTTGCATCCCCTCAACCTAATGCCATTAACCTGTGATAGAATAAAACCTCTCCCCCCACCCCAGTCACCCTGCAATTCAAAGAGCTGCCCTGCAAGGGTTAACTGCCTCCCCAGCCTCCGAGTTCTGAAATCCCACACCCAAGCCTGGTCCCCAGTTGCCTAGCAACCAGTGGCTGCTGGGGATGCAGGGGAGGGAAAAGAGAAAAACAACGGGTCTGTCCACCTCTCTAAATGTCGCTGGGAGATCAGGGCAGAGAAAGGCCTGTGACCTGAGCCCTGGGGCTGGTGGGGAAGGCTGCTCTTGGGCAACCAGGATGGTTGTTATCCCTCCTTTGAGTGGGCTTACATAAGGGCTTGGCATTTGCAAGGGACTTTAAGATCAGCCAGCGGTGACACCCCCTCCACCCACACATGCGTGCATATGTTGTGCAGGGAGGAGCCTGGCTGTGGGAGGCAGAGACTGGGTTCCAGCCAACGGTACCACTGTTACCTCCATCTCTGAGCCTCTGACGTCTCCCTCTGCCAACGGGGGAAGGTGAACATGGTAACCACTGGAGTTTGCAGTTTGCAAAGATCTTTCTCCTTTAGTACAGAATGTATTGCTCACTGACACATCACCCTTTTTCTCTCTTAGCATTTGTCTCTACCTGACATTATCTTGTTTACTTATTTGTTTACTTCTGCATTGACTTTCTCCCCAACTAGAAGGTGAGCTCCGTGAGACCAGGGAGCAAGCTTGCCTTGTTGGGGGGCACTCATGCTCATAGAGCCCCCAGAGAAGGATGCCCCCAGATATGCAATGTGGGGTCCTTGCTCAGACCTATAACCCTAGTCCCTAGCCAAAGGCCAGGCACATGTTAGGAACCCAATAGCTGTTTATTTAATGAGTGAATGAATGGAAAAACTCTTGAAATAGTTGATGCAATTATCTTTATCCCCGTTTGAAAGCTGAGGAAACAGGCTTGGAGCAAAAAACTTGCCTGAGATCCTAAAGCACGCGGGTGGAAGATCTGGAGCTGGAGCTGGGCTTCCTGTTTCCTGGGATGGGGCTCCTTTCACTGCCTCTCAGGTCATGCAAGTCCAGCCAGGGAGGCGGTACCAATAGTGAGGGAGCGTTCACTGTGTGTTCGAGGCTGAAGATCTGCAATGAAAAGATAAGCCGCCTGCCTGGAAGGAGCTGGCGTTCAGGCTGGGAGACAGACCATAAAATATTCAGAAATAAAGATACATTTGGGTAGTGACAAGTGCTATGAAGCATCTAAGACAAGGTGACAAGCTAAACAGTGACAACAGCAGGGGGAGGGAAGGATGGGCACTTTGGGTGGCCGAGGAAAGCCTCTCTAAGGAGGTGGCATTTAGCCAGCCTGGTAGAAGCAGAGAAGACAGGAAGTGAGGGGAGATGAGGTTGGGTCCTGCAGGGCTGGGTGGACAGGGGTAAGGAGCTCGCCTTCTACTTCAATCACAGAGGGAAGCCATCAGAGCGTTTGAAACAGGGAGTGATATGCACTAATTTGGCTTTAGAAAGATTACTCTGGCCACTGTGCAGAGAAGTTGGGGGGCAGGGAAGGAAAGAGGGGGAGCCATTAGTGGGCACTGGGGAGAAGTTAGCACAGCTTGGGGCAGGGTAGTGAAGTGGAGATAGAAGTGTCAGATGTGTGTGTGTTGGAGGTAAATTGACAGGACCTGTGGATGGATTAGATGCGGGGTATGAAGGAAAGAGAGGCTGAATCCAAGATTCTCGGCCTGAGCAGCCATAGACAATGGTGTCATCCGCTGAGCTTGTGCAGATGGGGGAAGAGCAGACTGTGAAGACACAGCAAGAGCTTGGCATGAGCCTGGGTGAATTTGAGATGCATATCGGACACCCAAGGGGAAGTCAAGTGAATGTGAGCACGTTGGAGCCTAGAGCTCAAGGGACATGTCTGGGCTGGGATGAGAATTGGAGAGTCAACAGTGCTCAGATGGTATTTAAAGCCCTGAGACTGAACAAGAGCACCCAAGGAGAGAACTTAGAGACCAGGACAGAGGCCTGGGGCGTAGATGGTTAGAGGCCTGGCAGGTGGTCTGAGTTGGCCGTAGGCAGGAGTGGAGACCTTCTTGCTTTGTCTCATTTGAGGAATTATGTTTCATGGAATGAGAAGGAATATCCTGAGGCCATCAGTTCCATTCTTCATGCCTCAGTTTCCCCATTAGCAAATTGGAAGATGCAGAATCTGGATCTAGGCTTGTTTTGAAAAGATGGCTTCCATAGATGGCATTTCTTGGGCTAGGGCTGCCTCTTCTTCCAGGCTGTGACAGGCCTGATCCTACCACAGCTTCAGATGCCTGCAGAAATGACAGTCCACAGCCATAGACCACTGCTCAAGATAGGTTCCAGAAGGTCTGGGGACTGGGCAAACCATGAGAGGTAGAGCTGATGTCAGGAGCAAATTTTACTCCACGCATTGGAGAGGATCTGAAGACAAAGCAACGAAGGGAGAGAGCTGTGAAAGAAAGGAAGAAAGAGGTTCGGAGAACTGAGATGGAAAAGAAAAAGAGAGGAACAGCAGGCAAAGAGATAGAAAGAGGAAGGACAAGGAAGAGGAAAGGGAGAGGAGGTGGCTGAGGCAGGGCGAGAAGAGTGTCTCCTCTCAGGTTTCCAGGGAGACAGCACCTGGTGAGTGACAGCATAGGGCGCCTGGCCTTTTTGGGAAGAGAGCGAGGTTGAATGGGCCGGGGCGCTGCACCCAAGTAGCCCTGTCCCCTGAGAGGACCAGCCATACGACCAAGTGGGCCCCTGCAGACCGCGGCAGCTGCCCTGGGCGGGGAAGCAAGGGGCGTGCTGGGTACAGACGAGGGGAGAGGCCTGGATGAGGACGGGGACAGGGGCTTTCGTGGGGCTCTCTGGGGGGCTGGGGCTTGGTGGATCCTGAAGGATTTCCACAGACGGGGAAGAGGGAGTGCCAGGGCAAAGGTGATCCAGGCGTCGGGAACAGTGGGAGCAGCAGAAGCCGAGAAGCGAGGCGTGAACATCGCTGGCACATTTCCTGAGGGTGAACGGAGAGGTGCCGCTGAAGCGTAGGGCGGCTGTCAACGTGTCCTGAGAAACCAAGTCTCCAGGGAGCTGTGGGAGGACAGCTTCCCGCAGGAACTGTGGACTTTGGAGAGGGACGAAGACAAACAAACAGACCACAGCCAGCGCTGGGTCCGACTTCTTTTTCCTACGTGTGAGGCTAAGGTGCCCCATCCTAATGCTAACAAGCGTTTCCAGAGCACTCTGTGTGCTGGGGACATACCACCACTCCATCTGTAAAGAACAACGACGAAAATCCTCACAGCCATCCTGTGAAGTAGACACCGTTGTTTATTTTTGACACTATTATCTTTATCACCATTTTCTATGAGGATACTGAAGCTGACTTGCCCAAGGTCGGCCAACCAGGGAGTCTGGCTGCCTCCCTTCTTGTCTGCCAACCCTCGAAAGAGAGTGGAACCGGGCTGGAGTTATCTAGAAAGAGGAAACTGTGCCTTAGGCACCCCCTACACACACACACACACACACACACACACACACACACACACACACACGGAGTACTACAGCTCTGACTACTAAATAAAAGATCGCCTTCTAGTGGTGACTCAGACAAAGGGCAGACACCTGATCCCAAAGGCCCATAGAGGTTTCATTCATTTATTCACCACTGTTTGTTGAGCACTCACTATGGGCCAGCGTTGGTTCTGCATGCTGGGGATACTGTGATGGACAAGACAGACAAGGTCCCAGCCTCACAGAGCTTAGTATCCACTGGGGACAGACAGACACAAGCAAGTAAACAAATAAGAGAAGTACGGGTTGTGAAACGTACCAGGAATGAAATAAATGGGGATGTGAGGGAGAATGATTGGACAGAGCTTTAGATCAGGTGGCTGGGGAGATCCTCTCTGAGGAGGGGAAATCTGACCAAGACCCAAAGGGTGGGGTAGATCCAGCCACATGAAGATCCTGGAGAGGTGTTTTAGACAAAGAACAGCGAGTGCAAAGGCCCTGGACAAGATGGAGCAAGACATGTGACATAGAGGCCAGTGTGCCTGGCCAGGGCAAAGGTGGGAGAGTGCAGAATGAGGATGGAGAGGTTGGCGAGGGCCAGGTCATGGCACGCCTGCTCTGGAGTCCATGGCGAGGATTTGGAATGTCTTCCCCAAATGGTAGGAAACCACAGTGAGGCTTTAAGGAGGAGAGGGAAGCTAATTCAGGTTACATTTTAAGAAGGTCCCGCTGCTGGCGGCCCGGGTTCGGATCCCGGGCGCGCACCGACGCACCGCTTCTCCGGCCATGCTGGGGCCACGTCCCACATATAGCAACTGGAGGGTTGTGCAGCTGTGACATACAACTATCTGCTGGGGCTTTGGGGGGAAAAAAAAAAAAAAAAAATCTTTAAAAAAAAAAAAAAAAAAGAAGGTCCCTGTTTATTTCCTTCCATTAGGGAGGAAGAAGCCAGCCCTGGTGGTCAAGTGGTTAAGATTCAGCACTTTCACCACCATGGCCCGGGCTTGTTTCCCGGTCAGCAAACCACACCACCCGTTTGAGGGTTGTCATGCTGTGGCGGCTGCACGTTGCTGTGATGCCGAAAGCTGTGCCACCTGTATTTCAAATACCAGCAGGGTCACCCATGGTGGACAGGTTTCAGCGGAGCTTCCAGACTAAGACAGACTAGAAAGAAGGGCCTGGCCACTCACTTTCAAAAAAATTGGGCATGAAAACCCTGTGAATAACAGTGGAGCATTGTCTGATACAGCACCAGAAGGTGAGAGAATGGGACAAAAAGACCGGGCAGGGTTCCGCTCTGCTGTCCACAGAGTCACTAGGAGTCGGAATCCTCTCAACGGTGCTAACAGCAACAGGGAGGAAGAGTTGGTGGTGACAGGGGTTGGGGTAGTGGCCAGGAAGATGCAGAGAGGAAGGCAGAGCATGAAATATTTTAAACGTAGAGAAATCAGTGGAACTAGCTGGTGGACTGGATGTGAAAAGTGAAAAGGGGGGAGGAATCGAGGTTGGCTGCTAGTTTTCTGGCTCGAGTAGGAGGCGGTGCCATTTATGGAGCAGAGAGTGTGGGTGAAGGACAGGCTAGGTGGGCGGAGGGAGCATTTACATCAAGTGTTCCCTTTCGGGCGTCTTAAGTTGGAGACAGCTGAGACGTCCAAGTGAGATGTCAAGCAAGCCGTTGGAAATATGAGATGAGTGCTGAGAAAATGCGTCCCGTTACCTTGTTCTGTGTGCTGCCCAGGTGCACTGACTCGGGGCGCCCTCCCTGCAGCCCACACTCCTCCCTTCTCTTGCTTCCTTGTAGGCTTCTCCTTACTCCAGTGCTGTGGCATGTCCACGTGTGATCAGGGAAGAGCTTGGGGATGAAAAAAAAGGACTCTCAGTCTCTTTCCTTTCTGTTTTCAACCCTTGACCCCTTGCAGGGAGCTCCCTGTTCTCCCAACCTTAGCACCAAACCCTGGGGGTGGGCTGGGAGCCCCCGGTGACCCTCTGTCTCTCTGCAGGTGAATGTGCCCTCGGTCCTGGTGCTGCCTGCCTCTGTGGGCTGAGGGCCTGCGAGTGTGACAAGCAATCTGCATACTGCTTCAAAGAGAGCCTGCCCACCTACGAGAAAAACTTCAAGCAGTTCTCCAGCCGGCCCCGGTGCGGCAGGCGTAAACTCCAGTGCTGTGGGGCCCCGGGGTCCACTTGTTGGTCAGCACCTGCTCCAGAATCTTCCAGGAAGCCCCTCACATCTTCCCCACGGGCTCCGGTTCTTGCAGCTCACGCTTCAGCATCCGGCCTAGGGCACTCCTCTGTCCCTCGGCATCAGGGGACTGGAGATCAGCCATGGAAGAGACAAAGCCCTGGCCTTCTATGGAGGGAGACAGACCGTAAATATACACACAAATAAATGATACCCTCCAATAGCAGTCAATGCTAGCAAGCAATAAAACAAGGTGTCGAGGTAGATGTACCGAACCCCCATCCCAGGAAGCTTCCAGGAGGAGAGAGACCCCAGGATCTACCCTAAACTCTGCCTCCACCCCTACCCCATAATCAGGATGCAGGGTGGACTTGGGAACCAAGCCCACAACCCAGATCGAGCTGGGAGCCAAGCAGACATTTTGGAAAACAAGGTCGTGGCACCCACGCCGAGGACCTGAGAGGCTCACTTGGAGTTTGTTTCTCATTTTCTCAAGTTCTGCCTTCTGAAACCCTCAGGTAGGGAGAAGTTGATGCCATTGTCACCTCTCAGGAGACGGAGCACCATGGAACCTCAGCACCCACTGCTGCTGTGCGGATGTCCTGGTCCAGGCGGATGGCAAAGAAATGGAGAAAGAGGGCATGGGAGAGGGGATCAGAGGTATCCAATGTTTCCATCCAAATTTAGAAGCTCCTGGTTATATCAGACTTAAATTCTAATAAATATTGAAGTGATCTAACTGGGGTGGATTCTGATCTTTATAATGCCCAACTGGTGTGGCAGGTTGCAAAAACGACCACAATTATTCTTACCTCTCTGTATCCTCACCTCTCACGATACAATGCTCAGCTTCTCAGCTAGAGTCTGTTTTCCCCACTCCTTAAGGCTGAGCCGGCCTTGTGACCTACTTTGGTAAGTAGAATGTAGTGGAAGGGATGGTCGAGCAGTCCCCAAGCCTGGGGAGGTCTAGTGCACTTCCACTCTCTCAGAAGAGTGGTCCACCATGAGAAAAACCCTGGGCCAGCCTGCTGGAGGATGGGAGCCCACCCTGATCAGAGTCAGTCATCCCAGTTGTCTCAGCTGAGACCTCAGACATGGGAAGGTGCTCAGCAAAGATCAGCAAAGCCAACTCGTAGCTGACCAGAGACATATGAGAGAGCCTCACTGAGACCAAAACAGCTGCCCAGCTGAGCCCAGGCTAGATTGCCCACTTGCAGAATCATGAGCTAAATAAAGGCTGCTGTTTTAAGTCTCTAAGTTTTGGTGTGGTTTTTACATAGTGTAACTCACTGACATAATTGGTCTTATTCATTGAGACTCCTGGGTTCTCAGCACTGTACTGCACTTGGAGGCCATAGAAACACTGTGGACGTGGCCCCGCCCCTTAACCTTATCGATGTAAAAGGAGAAAGGCCATACTCATGTAATAACGGAGAACACACAGACGGCTGTAATCACTGAGCCACCCAACAAACATTTATTGAGCCCCCGCTATGCATCAGGCCCAGTGCTGAGCATTAGGGAGTCAGATTTAAAGAAAACAAACAAACAAAATCAAATCTAACTGTCCTGGGAGAACATTGAGAGCCATAACAGCTGTTACAAGTTCAAGTGCAGACACTTAAAGTCTGGATGGAGTGACGCTGTCACTGGTGTGAAGACAGAAGGGGAAGCAGAGGGTCTGGGAACCAGGGTCCTGGGCTCTGCCTGGCTCGGCTCGCATGGTCATGCGGTGAACTGGTTTAGTCTTCCCACATGCCCCGCCCGCGCCTGCTGTAGTAATCACAAGTGCTGAAGGGAAGCTTGAGGTTCGTGGGCATCAGCGGGGGTCTTAAAGGTCTGTGAGAGGAGTGGCTGCAGAAAGGCAGACATGGAACCAGGGGGCTGTACCCAAGCCAGGCACCTCCCCTCCTGGGGGGTTCCTGACCACAGCAGAGACCAGCTCCGGACTGAGGAGGTATCTGGGCGACCGGCAGAGAGGCGGAAGAGAGGCTGGGGCCAGGCTCAGCATGGGGGATAGGGGTTCAGTGTGAGATCCAGGCCGTCTCCCACTGCCTGGGCCTCGGCTCCTAAGCTGTAAGATAGAGGAAATGGGCCCGGGATGATACCCAAGCCCCGCTCACGTCCATGCCGATTCTGCGAGGAACGAGGTGGGACTATGGGGGATGTCATCGCCTTTCCCTGGGAAAGCCGGCTCTCCTGGGAGGCAGTCATTCATCCCTCAAATACACGTTGAGGGCCTTCTCCAAGCCAGGGCTGTGCGAAGGGCGGAGAAACAAAGATGCATCTGACTCCACGTTGCTCTCAGACTGGGGCAACACAAGTCAACAGGTGATGTTTGTAAAGGCAGCTGAGAAATGCTGGAATTAGGCTTGAGGAGCAATGACCACCATCCAGGAGGGTCCGATAAGGCTTCCCAGAGGAAGGCGGGGCTCTGACAGCTCCTCTGAAAGATGAGGAGGAGTTGGGAAGGCCAAGTGGGGTGTGCAGAGCCTCCCAGTAGAGGATGGAAAGTAATTCCACACACACAAACACAAGCGCCTCTGCCACCCGCCTCTCCCCATCTCAGCTGCGGGGCCCTCCACCATCTGTGGCTCCCCCAGGCCAAAAACCTGCGTGTCCAATTCTTTTTCTCATATCCCACATCCCACATTCAATCTGTTGGCACCAACTTCAAAATACATCTAGATTCTGTATTTATAAAATACTTCATCTATCAACTGACGAATGAATAAATAAAATGTGGTATATCATTTGGCAATAAAAACAAAACAAAAAATCCCAAATTGATGGAAAAAGCATTACCTTCAAGAATCATAACTTCTTAAAAATCAAGAAGATGGAATTAAAACACGTTCTAATTGTATTATAAAATGATCTCCTTTATATATTTCTGGTTTCCATAACATAAAGCTTTTGTCATTAAAAAATATATATATAATCAAATTGATGAATGATGAAGTATGACACATCATTATTTATGGTGGAGGATATTTGTAAACATTCTAAATGTCCAAAAAGAGAATAATTCTTAAAAGGGTCGTAGTGCATCTGTACCTGGAAAGTTATGCATTAAGTTTCTTAATGATTTTAATGACACGTGGAAATGTTTACCATGTACTGTTAAATGACAGGGATAGGTTTTTTTAAAAAAACTACAGTATAACTCTAATTTAATTGTCTATCTGTACTATTTATATGAAAAGTCAAAATAAAATATTTATATGAAAAGTCAAAATAAAATATTAACATGTTTAAAAAAATTTTTAAGTAAAATGTACACAAAAAATTAAAATGAGAAGGGAAAGATCTAGAATCTGACCACTTCTCATCACCCTCACGGCTGCAGTCTCCGTCTGCGCCACCAGGTCCTCGTGCCTGGGTTCCTGCAGCTGCCCCTCAGCGTTCTCTCTGCTTCCGCCCTGGACTCTGCAATCTCTTCTCTACGCAGCATCCGACCTTGTCATGCCTCAGCTCACACTCCCCGACTTCCCTCTCAGTAAGAGGCAACGTCCTTCCAGTGCCCTACAGGCCATCCAGCACCTGGACCTCCCTTCCTGTACTCTCCTTGGCACTCACTCCACCCCAGCCTCCCTGGCCTCCACGCTGTTCCTTGAACACGCCAGGCACATACCCTCCTGAGGACTCTGCCTCGGCTGTTCCCTCTGCCTGGAAGGTGCTGCCCACATGGCTCACTCCCCATCTCCTTCAAGTCTTCGCTGAAATCTCACCTTAATAAAGTTGATGCTGACTACCCTATTCAATGCCGCCCACTCTCCACTGGCATTTCCCTCTCCCTCGTCCTGTCCTTCCAGTTCTTTCCTCTGTCACCCAATGCACTATGCAGTCACTTGTATCCATTGTCCATTGTCCATCTACCCCTCTAGATAATAAGCTCCTGAGGGCAAGGACTGCATCCTTTTTCGTCACTGATGTGTGTGTTGAATGACGTGAGGTCAAGAGAGAATGTGGAATGTGAAGGAATTGCAAGTAGCTCAGAGTGGGGAGCACGGAATGTGGGGGGTGGTCTTTAGGGCGAGCGGAAGAGATGAGCTGGCCAAGGAGGGCCTTGTGGCCACTCTGGGAAGTCTGGGCTTGATCCCGGGAGCAGTGGGGGTCCAATGTTCTGAGCAGCCCGCCACTTTCCACCTGCGTGAACTTGCGCAGCTCAACCTTCTTGAGCCCCAGTGTCCTCGTGGGCAAAACGGACAGCTGAGACCACAGCACGTGATAACTAACATGCGTGGCGATCACAGGGACTCAAGAGTGTTCATTCCCTTCGTCACTTGGCACTGTGGTTGGCACAAGCGCCCTGTCTCAAAGGGACAGACTTTGAATGAGATGTGTTTTTACAACAGCTCTCGGGAGATTTTCATCAGCCGTGTTTCCTGCTGTCTGGTTGCAGCCGTCAGACATTCGGAGAGGAGGAGCGGGGGGCACGCCCTCCACCACGGGCGGGCGTTGGGCTCAGGGCTGACTGTGTGCGTGTGAGCTGAGGCAGGCGGAGTCGCTGTCCCCTGTTCCCACTCCTGGGGTGTCTGCGAAGCCTTGAAAGGCATGGGGATGAGCAGACATGGGGAGTGTGGCAGAAGGCAGCATGGGCATGGCTGCGGGCCCTGGAGGAGGGGTGCAGCCAGTTGGGGTGCGGTGGGGAGTGAGGCGACTGGGTTTCTAGGTCAGCGAGTGCTCTGGCTGGTGGCTCCTGGGATGGGCCAGGCAATATCATGTCCAGATGGGAGAACAAAGAGAGCCATGGCGGAGGGCGGGTGCCAGGCCCTGGGACCCTGAGTGGGGAGAAGGGGAGTCCAGACACGACCCCAAGCCTTGGTTGCTGGAATGAGCAGCCCCCAGGTTCTGAGCACTCACCCTGTCCAGGCACAGGGCTACCTTCATAGATAGTCCACCTGAGCCATCTTCAGACAGGTGCTGTTGAAATCCCCAGTTTACTGAGGCTCGAGGCCACACAGCTAGCACACGGCAGAGCAGGGACTTGAGTCCAGTGCTGTCTGACTCCCCTCACCCTAAGACTCCCCTCCACAGGCTTGTCCCAGAAGGAATCCAATACTGGAGAGACTTGGGGGAGGCAGTAACTGAGGAGGCTGCTCCAAGGGCTTAAATACTTGCCTGGAGGGAGGCCTAGGTTCTGGTTCTGGCTAAGCTGCTAAATTGTTGTGTGGTGTCATTTACTCATTCATCCACCCATTGCA